AGGACCGACTTGTCATTGGTGCTGAAAATCCGAATCTTGTTGTTTATGCTGGCTGAGTGCAGTGCAGAAGATTTCCAAACTGCTTTGAGGTTGATGAAGGCGTATCTTGCCTTTCCGATTCTAGCTGGTGTTGACATTTTTATCCCTTTTCCATCGCCGTGGTTGGAATCATGCTTCCTAGATAAGTGAAGGGAGGGAGTGACCTCTGTTAAATCTGATGGTGATTGGTGCCAATTGTTGTTGCTGTCCTGTTGTTATTGAAGTCCTGTAACTCTCACCATTTCTGTCTTCTCTATGTTCACCTGGAGTTCTGTCTTCGCTGCCTGCCAGCGTCTTCTGCCAGTTTGTTGGTTTTCGCCTGCTTACAAGTCTTCGAGTTTGTATGACTTTAAACATGGATCAACTTAAAAATCCAGATCTTCTAGATGGAGTCTTCTTACCGGTGGTCCAGCGTATTCCTGCCTTCTCACTCCCCCCCACACCATTCATTGCAGTCTACAAATTTAAATGTTACATATTATAATCCAGTGTTACTTTGGGTTAGAAATAATTTCGTCTTAGGTTTACTCCTTTCACGTTAAATGTATGCAGAAAGTACATAGTACAGTCTTTTATCAACAAATGTTTCGACATTTTTACTACTTTGAATTACTTATACATTCCTATTGAATAACTCATACAGAATATATTTATCTGAATGATAATCAACCATCTGTTAATAGAAATGTCCATCTATAAAAGGCCAAGTTAGAGAACATCACTCCAAGCAATGTGAACGCTCAACTGACCACCCTGAGGCAACCAATCAGAAAGAGCAGAGTCATTTCTAGAGAAATGCTGTTTATTTACTAGCAAATATAAATAAACATAAAACATCCTAACAATAACCCCCGTAATTTTAATCCTTACCATAATACTAACCCTGATCCTAACCCTAACCGTAGCCCTAATCCTAATCATGACCCCAATATGTTACCAACCGATTATCTACGTAGGACTTAAAAACGAGATTGTGATGAAATCTGCACCACAATTCGTGCACAACTTTTATAGTGATGGTAGGGCAAAGTTAGACTTTAAGCACCACTAACTACCAATCAGCGAATGACCTTGAACGCACCAATCATGTGAAGGAGGCATTTTTGTGTATGGAATACATGTATTTATGAAAAAAATGCATAAAAACTGTACAAAAGTGTTACAGGGGATACCTTTCTCTCACATGTGATAAAAATAGCTCTCAGTTTTAGGTTGGAGTATCAAAAGAGTATAATTCCATTGTGGGTAAAATTTATTTTGATAAAGTCTCATAGTGTAATACAGTAATATTTACTGAGCAATAAATTGTGCTCGAAACTTCATCAGTAAATATTACTGTATAACACTGTGAGACTTTATCAAAATAAATTTTACCCACAATGAAATTATACTCTACCACAGTGCACAAGTACTATTCTTATATCAACAGAGTAATTTAACCGTATTCTATGCATGTAATTATTTAGGTCTTCTAACCCTAACAATAACCCTAATCTTTCCTGAACCTAACCCTAACGTGAAAATATCCCTAAACTAACTGTAATCTAACTCGAACCAACCCTAATGTCGCCTTTATTAGGTTAACCTAACCCTAACTTGTCCTTGGCTTAAAGCGTAACTTAATCTTTCCCAAACCTAAGCTGAAACTTGCCAGATATCCCATTTAATTAATAGCATAACACTTCGATGAGCATATTTTATTGATGATGACAACATTATTTGCCAGGTTTCACTAACATGCTCAGTGAGCGTTTCAAGGTCATTCATTGGTGACGTCGCACTCCATTGGTGGTAGTTAGGCGTGCTTAAAGTTTAACTTAGCCAATGGTAGGTTTCATTATCCAGCAAACGGTGCACGTTCAAAGTCATTATTAGTACGTTCGCACTCTTTGGCCCCAATATAATATAAACGTCCCACTGAGGCATTAAAACGTTTAATCAAAATACATTTTTCAGATAAATTTAGCATCTGCTTGAGGTGATTTGATAGACATTGAATAACAGTGTGGAATCCACCAGGATACGTGTTTCGTCCTATTTAGGACTTTTCAGCTGGTCGACGTACCTACAATCTCTAGTGAGTAATGGTGTTTCCACTGGAACCTGAACCAAGTACTCTTCATTTCAAAGGCCTTACACGTGTCCAGGATGCGCACACGTCGCCTTCTTTTGACTGTTCAGTTAGATAAGCCTGCCGTTGCCGAGTGAGGGCATGATCACTCATTGGTGATTGCAGGCATATTCACTAGCTGATGACACTCAAAAGGGACGAAATATACAGTCTGGATTCCACACAGTTATTCACTATCCATTACAAAATCACTTCACATTAATCCGCAGACATCTCACCGAAGCGTCCGTACTACATGGCCGATATATAAACAGAGGGCGAACATTTCAATTCAATCAATTCAGTGGGGGAAATCAAAACTCAAACAAAAATAAGTATATTAGCATTTACTTATATTTTTTGTTTAAATAATCCCATGAAACCTTAGGGGTGTGCAACATAGATGGCACTGAAATAGAAATCAAGTCGGAAATTAAATATCTAGGCGTCATTCTATCTGCTGATCTTTCCTGTTCGTCTCATATCTTGACGATTTCTAAGAAAATACTCCGTCTTACCTTCTACATCAAGAAGTTAAGACATTCTGGTATAACCCAACCCTTACTCCTACAATTCGTTGACTCTCGCATTCTGCCTATTATTCTCTATTGTTCCCTCTTAGTTTTTCCGTGGCTACTGAAGATAGACTATACCTTATTACGCAGAATGTTAAAGGTTGTCAGCAGGGTAAGCAACGTGCCACTTAACCAGCTTGTTAATATTCTGGTTGACAGGCACTTGGACTCATGTGAAAAATGGGCTAAATCTTTTTTATCTAACTCACACCACCCTTTTCATCCACAACTCTCCCCTTGCATCTCATCAGGCAGGACCAGAAGCCTATATAGAAAACTATATGCTTGCACCAGCAAGTACAAAAACTCAACCATACTCTACTTAGCTCGTATTCTGTGCGATAAAGAAAGCATTAGGCGTGGAAATTATAACTTATTAAATAGTCAGTAGAACAACTGGATCTCGTCTTTCCGACTCATATCATTTATAGGTACAACGTTTTCTTTCTTTTCCTTTTCTCTTTTTTCTGGTATGTTCTGCTTTGTTTCTTTCTTCCTTACAAACTCTACTTAGAACATTCTTCTTCGTTCTTTCACACTCTGTATATCTCGACGATTTTGTCACCGCTTACGCTAGTAAATATGCTAGTATCTACTTTTCCAACACCTTCAAACACTCTGTTTAGTTTTGGCTTTGCTACCAATATGTCAATATGTTGTTGTCATAATGAACTGAGATTACCTTAATCTATGTAAAATTTTATTTATTGATAATGTACTGACTGGATGCAATTATTATTATTATTGTTTCGTTTAATTCCTAGAGGAACATAAGACTTCAGCCGTGCGTCTCCATTGCGTTCGGTTCTCTGCTAGAGTTTTCACCTGGCTCCAAGTCTGCCCACATGCTTTCATCTCCTCTTCAAATGACCTCCTCCAAGTCACACTTGCACTGACGACCAACTCACCGCTTCCCTTTCGGGTTCCATTCGAGGGCTTGTCTAATGATGTCACTTGATGGTTTCCTTAGAGTATGGCCAATCCAATCCGCCTCCATTTCTTCTGCCTGTTTGTTGCGCAATCGGTTCCTGGTTGGTTTGCTCCCACAGGTCCCTATTGCTGATCTTTTCTGGCCGGCCATCTGATCTTGAGTATTGAGCGAAAACAGCTGTTAATGAAGGTCTGTAGTTTGTTTGAGGTGCTCTTTATGACACGCAGTGCAAGTCTCTGATCCGTATAGTAGCACTTACTTCACATTGGAGCTGAAAATCCGGATGTTATTTTTCATGGTGAGTAGTACTGTTGATCTCCACACAGACTTGTGAGTAGTGAAAGCTCGTCTTGCTTTCCCGATCGTCGCTGCTTTGATATCCTCGTCAGTTCCGCCTGTAGTTGAAAAGATGCTTCCCAGGTAGGTAAAGGAGGTTGTTTCTTCCAGGTTCCTCCCATTTATGCTGATTGTTGTCTGTTTTGTTGTCGTTGATGCTGTTGGCCAGGAATCTTCGTCACCACATCTGTTTTCTCTATGTTCACCTAAAGTCCTATCTTTGATGCTTCTTCTGCCAGCTTGTTGCTTTTCACTTGCATATCTTCCAGTTTGTGGGAAATAAGACATATATCGTCATGGGCGAAATTCAGATCCTCCAAGATTTTTGTGTGAGTCCATTTTATGCTTGTTTCCTCATTTCCCGCTATCTGCCGCATTATGCAATCTACTGCAATCAGGAAAATCATTGGCGATAGTAGTCAGCCAGCCTTGTCTTAGTCCTGTCCTCACTTCGAAGAATTCCATAAGTTTCCCGTTGTGGATTACTTGGCATGCAGCTTTGTTGTACAGCTGTTGGATGAGATGTAAAATTGTCGGTGGCACCCCGTAGTGGCGAAGTCGTTTCCAAATCACCTCTCAATCGACGCTGCGCTATCGAAGGCCTTTTCAAAGTCGATGAAGTTGAGATATAGACCTTGACCTTGACGCGCTTTTCGATTACTGGATGCAATACTGTAGCGTGAAATGCTGAGAATTCCATTCTGTATCACAAGTACTGTTTTGGAATAAAGCAAATTATTATTATTATCATTTTTTTTCAGTTAGAATAACAGAAGAAATAAAATGAATTGTATTATATAACAGGCACATTCCTGTGAATTTAAACCAAACATTAAAAAGTATCAATTAAAATTAGCTAAGGAATTATCTCTGATAAATATAAATAGACGGTAAAATCAACAGAAATAATCACATAGACACACAGTAGGCGACTCCGTTTCCAATTTTTTACCACTTTGTCTTACTGAAGTCTCATAAGAAGACATAAATCATTGAATTTACTAAAATTCTAGGCTATATCATCCAGCAGACGTGTTTTTTCATGTTGACCAGTATACGGCGGTGGCGGTGGATTTCGATAATTTTCACCCGATATAAAATAATGCGGTGCTCTTCTCCAACTTTTATTCACTGCAATCTGTGGCTGTTGTTGTTGTTCACTATTATCAATTGGTGAATAGTAATCATAGTAGGAATAGTTCTGCTTCTTCTTCTTCTTGTAAACTATACTCAATACAATAAATAATGTCAATATTAAAAAGACAATAATAGAGAAGACAATTGTCGCGATGACAGTTGGATCCCATACTGGAGTGCTTGTGTTCATTGAAGCCAAGTTCATGTTAGTGAATTCAGCTAAATTGGCAATACAAAGAAAGAGAGACACAGGGAAAGAAAGATAAAGAAAGAGTCATTCTAGAATTTAATTTGTAGATGGTGACTAGCAGTGGAATCAAGGATAACGCGCATTTCGTCCTATTTGGGACTCGTCCGCCAGCTGGATGTACCTGCATTTCCCAGTGAGTGATGATGTTCCCAGTGATGCTCGAACCCAGTGCCCTTAGTGTCCAACGCCAAAGCGTTATCCACTAGACCAGACATCGTCGAAGCATCTGCAGAAGAAGCCAACTTGTCAACCTGAGACTGAGCACTTCGGTCGAATCAATTGACGAGAAAATCTAAAATTCAATTAAATTAATATGACCCGTTGCACAAGAGGTGGCTCTCGTGGCCCAAGTGGTCTAGTGGATAACGCTTTGGCGTTGGAAACTAAGGGCACTGGGTTCGACCATCAGTGGGAACATCATCACTCACTCACTGGGGAATGCATGTACATCCAGCTGGTAGACGAGCGCCAAATAGGACGAAATGCGCATCGTGGATTCCACTGCTAGTCACCATCTACAAATTAAATTCTAATTAAATGCCCAGACATCGTCGAAGCATCTGCACAAGAAGCCAACATGTCAACCTGAGACCGAGCACTTCGGTCCAATCAGTCGACGAGAAAATCCAAATTAAATTAAAAAAAGAGTCATTCTGTGAGTCAGTAAAAAAATAGTGGTTCGCCGCCTTCTTTCAGATTCATGAATAATGTCCCATTCAGAGATGAATGAAAACAAAACACGTAGTTCAGTGAAGAGTCCCTTTTTTAGGCGGCAAATTCATTCACGCTTAGCTGTACAATCGCTACACAATTAGGTAAGAGTTCGAAAATTTACAAATGTTCTAAGGAGTTAGGTTGTTACCATGATGACAGAAGTAGCTGGATGGTTTTCTTTTATAAACATAACTCTGGTTTTTCAAACTGAATGATTAAAATTCCATATTAGTTTGTTTATTAGATGTATCACACAATGAGTGAAACAGTATTATTTACTGGATGACAATGTTTCGAACACAAATTATCATCATTCATAATCATAACAATTATAATCACACGACTTCGAAATCTGAGTTTTATAGTTTTCTTTGTCCTCTCGTATTTGTCGTTGTTGGGGTAGCAGAATTTTCCAGATATATGGGTGGTCAGATGTTGAATCATTCCTATTACATGTATTTGTAGTTGATTCGATAAACAAAGCCTCCGTTGTTATCAATCTCTCCCTCAACTCTGTTACATTAGATTTTAAAACTGTCATCTTATTCCATCCTATTTTATGGTTGTGTGTGAATGCATGTAGTGAGTGCTATAGCTGTATTATTCTCTAGATTTCTTATCTTATTTGGGTCAACCAGTCTAGATTTTACTAGGTTTTTATGTTCGGCTAGTCTGACTGCCCCTTTTTCTAATTGAGTTTGTGGGTTTCAGTGCCGGCCACTTTGATTCCTGCCTTGTTAAGAATTCTGCATAAGGTTTCCGTAAGGTTTCGGAAACCTTAGGATGAAAGTATTAAAATCTAATGTTACAGAGTGGAGGGAGAGATTGATTGATAAGGGAAGCTTTGTTTATCGAACCAACTGCAAATACATGTAATAGGAATGATTCAACATCTGACCACCTAGAAATCTCGAAAGTTCTACTACCCCAACGACGACAATTAGGAGAGAACAAAGAAAACTATAAAACTCAAGTTTCGAAGTTGTATGATAATGATTGATGTGATTATGCACAGTAATAAATTTCGTTCGAAACATTGTCATCCAGTAAATAATACTGTTGCACTCCCTGTGTGTGATACATCTAATAAACAAACTAATATGGAACTACTTACTACCACAGTGCCCAAGTTTTACACATATATGAATGGTTAGGACTTCAGCAATACAAAGGAGATGAAAGCAAATTGCTCTTGGTAGGTTATTCTTCACTTTGTAGATTACTTTGAAAGAGGAGGCGTTTGTTGAGATGGAATGACCAGTTTTGACGAGAGATTTGATTATCGCACCCTTTATACAACCACTATTGCCTTTCTGTAGCTATGCGGGATAGTCTTCTTGAATCCTTAGACCAATGTACCTGGCTCCACAGCAATAGGTGAACTGATATAGGCACAATAAAATGGCCAAATGTGAGATCTTGTCATTAAGGCTTCTGTAGATCAATGGACGACTTGAGAACACTGTTCTTAGCATCAATGTGAAGAATTTTCTTCTCAGAGATGATGTGATCCTTCTTTTGGGAATATCGTTTGCTAAATCTCCCTTGAAATCCAAGTTCATGCGACTGGTCCGAGTGGCAAAAGATTGAGTAAGATTTCGTCTCTGCTCAACAAGTACCCAACTGAAGAAACTTGTTAGTTTAGCGCTCGAAGTGGATTTTCTATGAACTGTCCTTCCTAAGGTTCCGTCAGGTCGTCTTGTTATTTCGCACATTGTTGTAACTGTAGGGGAATTAATTGAGGACGTTGTCGCCTAGTTCTATCTGCGCCTGACTAATATGCCTATCTGCGTCTGGTACCTTCCGAATCAGCGAACCACGCAAATATCAAAAGACAAAAGCTGGTCTGTGACTGTGTATTGTAGTACAACAACTACGACAAACTACGACAAATAAACTTATTTAGGAAATGGTATTTATACATTTTTACAACCAATACAGACAGCTAACAGTATTTGAAATAATTGGTCGTAATAGTCAATAACAAAATGCGTGGGAAATGATGATATACCACTTATGCGAGATTAACAGTCGTTAAAATAATTGAACAATAACAAAGTGTGTGGGATCCTATCACACATCAAGAAAAGGAATTTTGGATTCTCATTCCATTTATATAGTGAATTTTATTGCCGGACGGCAGTTGTTTAATATTGGTAGCAACTGACTTTGGTCGTAACTGTTGTTGTAAACGACGAAAATGTTATCTATGTATCGTTTGTACGATTGCAAATTGTTAATGGATGACTTGAGTGGGCCGTTCTCAAGGCTAGTCATGAAGCCAAAGAGAGATCCCAATGCAATACCATCCTTTTGTCGGTGGATGGTTTCATTGAAAGTAAATTTTACATTGAGAGTACACCTCAGTAACAGTTGTACATGCATTAGAAAGTCATCCAACCAATCACTTCTACCATCATGGTAACAACCGGGTCAACTTCTACTCCATATAACATTTATAATTTTTAGAACTCTTACATAACTGAACAGCCAAGTGAATGAATTCGCCGAAAAGGTACTTTCCGATGAACTACGTGTTTTGTTTTCTTTCAGATTATCGGAGAAAGCCATTTAATAGAGACGGAGGTATATCACGATATCAAAGAAGTTATGAATGATAAGTCACTAAATTCAAAAACTCATTCGTTCAATGTTAACGTGTTCGATACGTGAATCCAAGCTCCTGAGTTTGCTACCTTGTAGAATTATTAATATGCAGTGATGACGTTTTCCAAAGTAAGACGAAACACCCATTCAATCCTCCTGATGTGCTCATAATTTGTGCTGGGGCTGGGCTACTGTTCAGACGCCGAAACCGAAGCAGGTGGTTGTCTTAAGTGGCTAACGCCTCCCCTGAGCTTCCGACTAGAATTCTTATCCACAAGGCATTCAATCAGCCTCAGAAGCTATGTCCCCATGGTTTCCGGTAACCGGAAAAGGTTCCCACGCCATCCGATCCTTTCGAATTCTGGAGTTCATGTACACTATACGTCAAGGTGCCAGCATCAAAGACTGTCAACCCACAGATCCTGAACCTAGCTCTGATGGCAAAAGACTAATACGATGTGAGGGAAATGACTTGAGAATATCAGAAAACAGATTGACAATTATACGGTTGTTTATTTCTTCACCGAAAAGGAACCAGGACTATAGGGTTATTACACCGCATAGTCAATGAACAAACATCAGTATAAATCACAATAATACTTTTGATGGTTCTTCTTCAGTCTTCTGCCAAACGGCGTACGACTAGGTCACTGCTGTCACTGTTTTCCCCAGCGAAAATGGAGATCCTTCCAAATACACAAATCATATGTTTCTCACTCAGTGTTCACCAACTCTGACACTACAGGTTTGGAATCAGAGTTTTCCAGTTCCCCCAAGTAGACCACCAGTCCATTTGTAAGCACCAGATGTACATGTTCCCCCTTTCTTTTTTGTCTGAGGAACTCCAGCTGCATGAAGGCGGTAAGTAGGACCCACCTCGTAGAAGCAATGAAGATGCGTAGCCAAATAAGACAGCATTTGAGGAGGAAAACCTAACTCTTCCCAACGTCGGCCGTATCAGACAGTTTATGGGGATGATCTACTTTGTAAGAAAGAGTATTTCGTACAAAATGGTCTATAGAGTGAAGTTGAAGTATCTAGGTGGGTGGATGGAAGCCTACAGATCAAGCGTGCAGTATTGATGATTGAGTGATCTATGCGACACGTCACCGTTGCACACCATGGTTCTACTTTATCTGATATTAGCTGTTATGAATAGATAACAATTGATTGATAGATGCTAAACAATAACCTCAAGTCTAAACAACCATATTCGATACTCTGATTTATTTCTATTTGTGATAGGATAAAAATTGTGAAGTGTTGGTTTGCAGGAATCTCATTGGTTACAGGTTTGACCACACCAGGAAGTACTGGACAACTGTTTTGTCCTAACTTGAGACTCTTCAGTAGTACTCATCCATCGGGGTTCGAACCCAGGACCCTCGGGTTACAAGGCAAGCTCGTGGACCATCTAACCACTAGGATGGAATCCAGTGGCTCATTAATTCCAAATTTGGCTAATTCGCGACTGCCAGTTGCGCAGTCACCGGTAAATATCATACTTGAGTAACTGATCTCTTAGCCGACCTGTTGGACCCCGCTGGTTATGACTTCTTGCTAGAACACTAATAGTATTTTTATCATAATTATCTTTTTGAGTTCCAGATGAAACAAAGAGCTTCCGCACCACATCTCCATTTCGTTCTCTTTGCCTCTAAAATTAACCACCCCCTTCCATCTCCTCCTCACACGGTCTCTTCCGTACCATTGTCGGACCAAAGCCCAAATCGTCGTTTCCAACTCAGATTTCTTGTCCAGCTATAACCTGGCCTGCTATGTCATTTGACAGACTCCTAATTGTGTCCCAGATACATCTTTGTTTTCCTCGGAGTATTTGTTGAGCAAGAGGTTATTGATTGGTTCTTTGATAGAGTTTGTCGTTGCTAATTCTTTCTAGCTGGCCATTTGATCTTCACTGTAAAGTCAATGAAGGTAGCTGTTAATAAATGTCTGCAGTGGCCTGTTGGAACTGCTTCACGTGACGCACACGCAATGAAACTTTCTGACCCACATACAAGAACTGAGTGGACATTGAAGTTAAAAATTCAAATTCCGTTCTTTATGCTGCGGATTTCAGATTTCTAAACTGACTTTGACATCCTCATCCGTGCTGTTGCCTGTAGTTAAAACGATGGTGCCTGACCAGATCAGTGAAGTAAGTGACCTCTTTCAAATTTCTCCCGTCGATAGTAATCGGCGTTAGTTGTTTCTGTTGATTGGTTACTTTCATCACCTCTATCTCCTCTATATTCATCACTTGAAGCCCTGATGAAGAGCCCCAAACTAGGACGAAACAGCCGTCCAGTACTCGCAGGTTTTCCAATGGTTATCTAACTAATGTCAGCTCATGATGAAATCCTGTAAACATCATCATATAGCTGTTAAATGAGGTTGATAAAGGTGTTTGGGTCACTCCATAGTGTTCAAGTAGATTTCCAAATTACTTCTTGGTCAACACTATTGAAGGTGTTTTTAAAGTCAATAAAATTGAGACAGACTGAAATTTGACTGCTATTCAATCCTCTGTTCGATGACGATAATGTTGATGATGATGCTTGGAGTTGCAATTCGATTCGCTTCTCATGAATCTAGCTTGTTTAGGGTGGGGAGGGAGGAGGCTGGCGGAGTTCTACATCCAGTGTAGAAATATTATATCAATTTAGATTGAATCAACAAGTAATAATGAATCTTTATTATACTAATAATTGGTTGGAGGGTTTCATCATGAGCTGACATCAGTTAGAGAACCATTGGAAAACCTGCAGGGAGTACTGGACAGCCAGCTGTTTCCCCGTCCTAGTTTGGGGATCTTCGGCAGTACACACCCACAGCTACGATTCAAATCCACGACTTTCCGGTTACAAGGCGAGCGAGCCACTGGGACCCGACACAATGGCCAGACAGCCTTTGAATTCTAACTTCTACCAATTCATGACATAGCGCGACCACTTCACAATGTCTTTTTCGATGAGTTACTGCCTCACCTTCAACCTGCTCTACCCTACTGGTCATGGCTTTCCACTAGAACCCCAGGTAACTAACTACCTACCTGAATAGGACCAGTCTCTAGTGAGCATCAGATCAATCAAACAAAATCCCTACAAAAAGTAATACTAGAAAATACTGATAATTGTTAGAATAAATTTAAAATTCACTTCTCACTTAATTTTCTGCCAAGAAATTCAGACTGTGTCACATGAAATGTTGATTTTGAGAACAATATGACTATTTAACTAAGCCTTCTTTCGATGAAAGCGAAAATAAGGATGGGGACGTGGAATGTTCGTACAATGTACGAAGCTGGGAAGGCTGCTCAGGTAGCCGCAGAAATGAGGAGATATAGAATAGAAGTGTTGGGAATCTGCGAGAGCAGATGGAACGGATGTGGAAGGAGCCAACTATCAACTGGAGAGACAATAATCTACTCCGGTCACCCAGAGGACAATCACGAGCACACCGAGGGAGTAGCCATCATGATGTCACCAACAGCGGCTAAAGCTCTCATGCAGTGGGAACCAATCTCCTCCAGGATAATGACAGCCAGGTTCAACTCAAAAGGAAAAAAGGTTACAATCATTCAGTGCTACGCGCCTACAAACGCCTCAGAACATGAGAAGAAGGAGGATTTCTACAGTCAACTACAAACAGTAATGGACAACGTCCCAAAGAGCGATATCAAAATCCTGATGGGCGACATGAATGCGAAACTGGGAGGAGACAATACAGGAAGAGAACTCACCATGGGTCGTGAGGCCCTCGGTGAAATGAACGAAAATGGTGAACTCTTCTCAGACTTCTGCGCCTTCAATGATTTGGTGATTGGTGGCAGTGTGTTCAAACACAGGGATATACACAAGGCAACATGGATTTCACCAGATGGACACACCAAAAACCAGATAGACTTCATTTCAATCTCAAGGAAGTGGAGACGGAGCCTACTGGACACAAGATCGAGGAGAGGAGCAGATGTGGGTTCAGACCACTATCTGGTACAAGGGACTTTCAAGGTGAAGCTGAAAGCCTCGAGGATACCTGGGGATAGGCCACAATGCAAGTTCAACACTCACAAACTGAAGGACACAATCACACAGGACATTTTCACTGCAACTGTCAGAGCAAAGCAGGAAACACTACGTGGCACCACTGAGGAATCATCCGTGGAAGACCATTGGAACTCTCTGAAGGTAATTTTCAACGAAACGTGCTCAACGGTTTTAGGAAGAAAGAAGAAACAAGACAAGGAATGGCTCTCAACAGACACTTGGAAACTAATAGAGGAGAGGAGAATGGTGAAAGAGAAAATGATTCAATGCAAAGATGGACAAGAGAAAGAGACGCTGAACTCAACTTACACAGCACTGGACAAAGAAGTGAAGAAGAGTGCCAGGAAGGACAAAAGACAATTCTACGACAACCTGGCTACTGAAGCTGAGAAGGCAGCAGGCAAAAGGGACCTGAGGACACTATATCAGATAACCAAGTCTCTATCCGGGAAGAGATCAACACAAGTGAAACCTATAAAAGACAGCCAGGGGAACCCAATTACCAAAGAAGGAAGACAGATTAAACAATGGGCGGACCACTTCAAAGGACTCTTGAACCGACCACCACCTACAACCCGTCCAGTAATACCAACAACAGCACGTACACAACTGCAAGTTGACACCAATCCTCCAACGAAAACTGAAGTCATGTATGCAATCAAGCTTCTGAAAGCTGGAAAAGCAGCTGGACCAGATGGAATACCCCCTGAAGCACTGAAAGCGGACCCAGAGACGACAGCAGATATGCTGACTCCATTATTGCAAAAGATCTGGAAAGAGGGAAAGGTGCCTACTGACTGGAGGAAAGGTTACCTGGTGAAACTACCAAAGAAGGGCGACCTGGGACTCTGCAAGAACTGGCGAGGAATCATGCTCCTGTCGACGCCAAGTAAAATCCTGAGTCGCATCATCCTGGAGAGAATCAAGGACGCGTTGGATACAGAACTCCGACCAGAACAAGCTGGATTCAGGAAAGGCAAATCATGTTCTGACCAAATTGCAACTCTACGCATTATCATCGAACAAAGCATGGAATGGCAATCAAATCTCTACCTCAACTTCATAGACTTTGAGAAGGCCTTCGACAGCGTTGACCGCGAAGTAATTTGGAAACTACTCGAGTACTACGGCGTACCGCAAATATTCATCAACCTTATTCAACAGCTGTACGACAACGGCACATGTCAAGTGATCCACAACGGAAAACTCAGCGAAGCGTTTGGAGTAAACACAGGAGTCAGACAAGGGTGCTTATTATCACCAATGATATTCCTAATTGTGGTGGACTGGATTATGCGTCAGACAGTGGGAAACGAGAAGACAGGGATATCCTGGACCGACGTCAAGAACCTAGAAGACCTGGATTTTGCGGATGATTTATGTTTGATGTCACACAAAATCGAAGACTTACAAGCAAAAACCGACAAACTGGTCGAAGAAGCAGCAAAGACAGGACTGCAGGTGAACATAGACAAGACGGAGGTCATGAAAATAACCAACCAACAACAGCAGCAACATCCAGTGCCAATCACCATCAACGGGAGGGATTTGAAAGAGGTTACTTCTTTCACTTATCTAGGGAGCATTGTCTCAACCACAGGAGGAACGGACGAGCATGTCAAATCGAGAATCGGGAAGGCGAGAAACACATTCATCATCAACCTGAAACCAATCTGGAAATCTTCGTCACTCAGCCTGCATCAACAACAAAATTCGGATTTTCAATGCAAACGTGAAGTCAATTTTGCTTTACGGATCAGAAACTTGGCGAGTCACCAAGAATATTTTCAACAGGTTGCAGACCTTTATCAACAACTGTCTTCGCTCCATACTGAAGATTAGATGGCCGGAAAGAATCACAAACAAGAAGCTATGGGAACAAACGAAACAGGAACCAATCGCCCAACAAATATGCAGGAGGAAGTGGAGATGGATTGGACACTCGCTGAGGAGGCCGCTGGGTGACACCGCGCGACAGGCAACCGCTCGAGTGGAACCCGAAAGGGAAGCGGCGAGTTGGTCGTCAGTGCAAGGGTGACATGGAGGAGATCGTGTGAGGAGGAGATGAAACAGTATGGAATAACATGGACGCAAATGAAAAGAACAGCAGAAGACAGAAGCAAGTGGAGACGTGCAGTTGAAGCCCTATGTTCCACTAGGAACCCAAGGGAACAATAATAATAATAATAATAATTTAACTAAGCTGTAGACAAGATCGATAATTTTTGTCTACGCTTACAGAGTTGATTTAACAGAGTTGATATTTGCACTTACCTGGAACAATTATCATACTGCCTGCTTTATAATCATCATAATCGTAGCCAAGACTTCGCGAATCAATGAAATAGGCAATATTTTCAATGACTGGGAAAAATGGTACTATTGGTGAATATGCATTGTGACCTGGTGGACATCCACGTTTGGGATACTATTATATTTGAAAGAAGAAACATAAAATAAAAATAGACACTAAATAAAAGCTGACCAGGAATTCTCAGTTATTTCCCACCTTCCTGGTAATCTATCTAGAGGAGCTTGACTACATCTTCTAACAGTAGCTGAAGCGGTAGCAGTCAATACCAGAAGACTGGCTCTTTGTATACAGATAAAGTATATTCAATCGCTATGTTTACCTTGGCCTACATACAATAAGGTATGAACGTGTGGACACACTTACATAAGGAGGACTCATCGATCTCTGCAAGTAAGGCCTGGTTTTAGAGCATATTCCTAAATGGCTCCAGAAACAAATAGAATCTTTAGAACCCATTAATGGTGAGAACAGGAGACCTAGCTCCTCTATTGCCAAATATATTATACAGACAGGACATAAAATTGACGTTAACAGATCTTTGAAACCTATCTATAAAACGTGTTTGGAGGAAGGCGTATCCTAAATTTTGTGGAAGACCTAGCTGGCAATTACGAAGTTTAAACCACCTCTATGCGTTCAAAAGCAATTCGTCATCACATTTAAATCTCCTTGGTAAATTTTGTTTTGATACCGTAGTAGATGTACTATTACCTCTGTTATTTGGTTTAGTGGCCTTCTTACGAGTTGATCACGGATTGATATCAATTAGAGAACCATTGAAAACCAGCTGGGAGTACTGGACAGCTGTTTCATCCTAGTTTTCGGAATCATCGGAAGTACAAACCAACTGGGGTTCGAAATCGGGACCTTCCGGTTACAAGGCAAGCTAACTCGTATAGCATTCAGCCACTGGGACCCGATTCAATGGCTCATGAATTCTAACTTCTGATACTCGCTAGTGACTTGCTACAGGATGGAGTTTCCTGGAGTTCTAGTGACAAGTCGTGACCAGTGAGGTCCAATTAGATGTCACGTGTGTGGATGGATGTCCCACCAACGACATTGGTTGGGGTCGCACTAAATCACGAATTGGTAGAAGTTAGAATTCACGAGCTATTGGATCGAGTCCCAGTGGATGAATGGTATACGAGCTTGCCTTGTACCCGGAAGGTCCTGGGTTCGAACCCCAGTGGTTGCGTACTGACGATGATTCCCAAACTAGGATGAAACAGCTATCCAGTATTCCCAGCCTGTTTTCAATGTTTCTCTAACTGATATCAATCCATGATCAACTCGTTAAAACAAAACTAACCCTTACAAACCAAACTACAGAACATTATTATCATTATTGTTACCATTATTATTATTATTATTATTATTATTATTATTATTATTTGATAATCATTCACCAAAAGTACTTTTATGTTCACGTCATATCATCGTCATTATTTCGCAATCATTATTATTGTAGTCACTTGGTGAATGTTGACTAACAGTGGAATCCACCGGGATGCACGTTTCGTCCTATTTGGAACTCATCAGCTACTGGATCTACCTACATTCCCCAGTGAGTGATTCTGTTTCCACCATGGCTCGAACCCAGTGACCGTAGTTTCAAACGCCAAAGAGTTATCCACTGAGACCATCATCACTTGCTGGGGAATGCAGGTATATACGCTAGCTGACGAGTCTCGAATAGGACGAAACATTGTGCATCCTGGTGAAATCCACTGCTAGTCACCATTTACCAACTGACTTCAAGTTACAGGACTAGACATCGTCGAGGCATGTGCACAAAGAGCCAACATGTCCACCTGAGACCGAGCACTTCGGTCCAATCAATCGACTGGAAAACTAAATTGAATTAAACATTATTATTGTCGTCTCAGTTTATCTCATGTTCTCATTGACCATGCATTTTCAAAAAAGTAATTGACTATTGTTCCATCCCATTTTATACTTGTTTAACTTCTGATATGATTCTAATTTGCCTTTACTGACTGGCTGGCTATTGTATGCTTAAATTAATGGATTTATAATTTTAGAGCCTGAAGAAGAATTTATTGAAACCACAGTTGGTCGCTTTAACTATTTTTGTTCTGACTAAATTATGGGAATATTCAAATTATTAAAAAAATAGTCAATCGTATTCATTGAAGGTGAATCCGGACACCAAGCTACACCGCAAACAAACTTCAAAGTCGTCTACAGAGTAAGAAGTAGTCTTTCTAAAGGTGTACGAATCAGACTTTTTCAAACTGCAGAAGCAATGGCGATTGACTTGCTAAGTCCTGACCTCAGCATACAGAAGAAGTTCGTTCAATCACTACACTTGCAATGGACATAATCTACCTTAATACGCGACAGGTAATTTCTATTTCTTTCTTTCTTTCTGTCTCTTCATTTGTATTATTTTGTCTTTTCAAATGTAATATTTTACATTTTCAACTTTCCTGTTCTCTACCCCCACCGGATTTAACTTCTACCCCTCGCTACCACTGTTACTGACTTGAACAACGCTCAGTTTCTAGTCAATTATATTACGTCATCTAACTAACTCAATCTTACTTTAGTTGCTGTCTGATTAACTTTGTTTCTATGTTAGATCATTCTTGTGTTACCTGATCAATTGTCTAAACTTGACAAACCTCATGTACACACACACACACACACACAAATAACTATATATAAATGCGATTGTACAGCTATGTGAATGAATTCACCGGCGAAAAAAGTCTCTTCGCTGAACGTCTTCTCTTTTTCATATGACTCGAAGGTGAAATTGTTTCGCTAAAACCCATCTATCTTTATGTACTAGTATGATGAGAGCTGGCTGCTAGCCAAAATTGGTAGACAGTAATTTACGTCAATAATTACGTTCCCAATATCGGTCATGAGAAAAATAAGAACAAAGACTGATTCAACAACCAATTACAGCAGAATTTGCGAAGGCGGATACAATTCGCAGATAGATAATCTGAACTTCAAGAAACGGCCACAAAGAGATGAAGGATTAACGTTCAGCGAGAAACCAGCAATCAGAAGACTGTGTTTGTTCGCTTAAAATAATCTATAATAATGTACATGAAAATCGATAAATATCTGTTGATTTCCTAAATAAGCGATCTGTTGCCTGTAGCTAACGAATGTTCGAAATCTGTCAAACTCCATCAGCAACTATATGGCAGTGCTAGGTGTCAGTGGATCTACAACGGAAAACTCAGCCAAGACTTTGGAGTAAATACATGAGTAAAACAAGTCTGACTACTATCCCCGATGATATTCTTAATTGTGGTGGACTGGATTAGGCGGCACACTGTGATTGGGGAGCGAGAAGACAGTAACAGACTGGACTGACAGCAGATTCTAGAAGATTTGGACTTTGTGGACAAATTATATGTAATGTCATACATACTGAAAAACTTTACAGACGAAACCCAACAAGCTGGTAGCGATGACAGGACTTCAGGTGAACAACATATAGAAGATGGAAGTGACGAAAGGAACCAGCCAACAATAACCAGCACCGATCACGAATAACCTGGAGAAATTCGAAAGACTTTGCTTCCTTCACTTATCTACACAGTATTGTTTCAACTACGGGCGGGACTGATGAAAATATCAAAGCCAGTTAGGACTGGAAAGGCGAGAGAGACCTTAATCACTCTGGAATTAGTTTGGAAATCTTCTACACACAGTCGGCATAAAGAACGAAATTAGTCAATGACTTCTTCTATATGGGTCGTAGATTTGCATTGTGCATGAGTCACGAAAGGCATTTCCAGCAGCTTGCCTCAGGCTTTTTTCAACAACTGCCACGTTCACTCGCTTTATGTGTAAGATTAGATGAGCAATTGGAAAGGAGTAGCACCAAGAGACTTAGGGAATGAACTAACCAAGAATCTATTGGATCAGAAGCACGCCACTGAGGAGACTGACGAACGACATCTCGCCTCAGTACAGATTTCAAGTGGGACCCGAATGGGAAACTACGATATAAGCGTGGTTCTGAGGTTGAAGGTGGAGGAGACCGATGAGAGTTTATGGGAAATCGTGCGGTTAGCTAAAGAGGGCTACAAGGGACAGGACAAAAAGGAGATGTGATGTTGAAGCCGGGCGTTCCACTCAGAACCCAATAGCAGTATTAATAACAACCAGGCTCAGTCTTTTGAATGTCAAATCCAAAAATCTCTCTTTGAACACATCTATTATTATAATCATTATTGTTCCCTTGGCTTCCTAGTGGAACATAGGGCTTCAACTGCACGTCTCCACTTGCTTCTGTCTTCTGCTGTACTTTTCACCTGCATTCATGTTAGTCCATACTGTTTCAACTCCTCTTCACACGATCTCCTCCATGTCACCCTTGGACGTCCCACTCGCCGCTCCTTTGTTCCACTCGAAGGCCTGATGCGCGATGTCACCCAGCGGCCTCCTCAGCAAGTGTCCAATCCATCTCCACTTTCTCCTGCATATTTGTTGGGTGATTGGTTCTTGTTTTGTTTGTTCCCATAGCTTCTTGTTTGTGATTCTTTCCGGCCATCTAATCTTCAGTATGGAGCGAAAACAGTCGTTGATAAAGGTCTGCAACAGGCTGTTGGAAATATTCTTTGTGACCCGCCAAGTTTCTGATCCGTATAGCAAACCTGACTTGACGTTTGCATTGAAAATCCGAATTTTGTTGTTCATGTTGAGTGACGAAGATTTCCAGATTGGTTTCAGGTTGATGAATGTGTTTCTCGCCTTCCCGATTCTCGATTTGACATCCTCGTCCGTTCCTCCTGTGGTTGAAACAATGCTCCCTAGATAAGTGAATGAAATAACCTCTTTCAAATCCCTCTCGTTGATGGTGATTGGCGCTGGATGTTGCTGCTGCTGTTGTTGATGTTGGTTGGTTATTTTCATAACCTCCGTCTTGTCTATGTTCACCTGGAGTCCTGTGTTTGCTGCTTCTTCGACCAGTTTGTTGGTTTTCGCTTTAAAGTCTTCGATTCTGTGTGACATCAAGCATAAATCATTCATCCATAATTCATACAAATCACAAAGGTTTGTAATATCAGTTAAACACCAGTATTATGTTTGTTAGAATACATGTATAGTGAAGTTTTTATGTGACTGATATACAATATCATCTGATTTAAGCGAATTTAAATTTTTGTTCATTAATCCTTATTATCGACCAAAGACTATTGATTAATTGATTTAATTATATGTAGTATACACTACTTATAAAGTACAAATTTGTAAATTTGAGGTCATCATTTTACTGGATAGTGATCAGTGTAGCTGTTTAACCTCATAGTCTTGCTTGCAAAAAAGTTAGTATCTAACTGCCCACCTGTAAGTCTGACCTGCATTATAGCAAAGGTGTTAGAAAAACTCATAAGGGATCAGCTCTTAGCTCATACGGAAAAACATCGCTTACCGGCAGTGGAACAGCATGGATTCCGACCAGGACGATCCTGCTTGACAAACTTACTGTTAGCTAGGGAAGATTGGGTCGAGGCCAGGGATAAAAACCATCTACTGGACGTTCTATTTATCGATCTTAGTAAAGCATTCGATAAGGTATCCCACTTAGGTCTTCTTAGTAAACTTAAACATTTTGGATTAGAACAACGCTTATATGAGTGGTTTAGTGACCACCTGATGGATAGGAGGCAGAAGGTAAGGGTTAATGGTGTACTGTCAGGGTGGAAAGCAGTACTAAGTGGAGTACCTCAGGGAACTGGACTTGGTTCCCTGCTATTCCTACTATACGTAAATGAAGTGCCGAAAGTTCTTACCTCATCTTCCTTACTATTTGCGGACGATATTAAGATATGGAAAACCGTAAATAGTAGCGATGATAGGTTGGTACTACAAAACGATCTAGACAAATTAGCTGAATGAGCTAACCTTTGGAGTCTGGAAATTTGCTCCAAGAAAAGCGCGGTAATGCACTTAGGTCAGAAGTCCTACACGTCGCACTCCATGGGAGACACAGAACTGCCAGATGTTAGGGAACAAAAGGACTTAGGAATTATTGTTAGCCATGACTTAAAAACAACGGCATATTGTAATCGAGCCGCAGCTAAGGCTTTTCGAATGCTATGGGCACTTTGAAGGGCTTTCAAACGATTGGACGAAGGCATTCTGAAAGTACTCTATGCAACATATGTCAGGCCTCATCTAAAGTACTGCATACAAGCGGTGGGTTCATTTTTCAAAAAAGAGGCACATACCCTGGAAAGAGTACAGAGGGTAGGAACGAAATTATTTAGTGGTATCTCACACCTTCTTTATGATATGAGAATGGAGCATTTGAATCTCTTCCCATTATCATACCGGAGGAGGAGAGGCGACTTGATTTTGACTTACCATATATTGAAGGGTGATTTAGGGATTGACCTTTCAAACCTTTTATCTCCCTCTAGGATACAATTACGGGGTCACGAGAAGAAGGTGCTCAAACCGAGGTCGAATAACACATATCTGGAGTTTAGATTATCTCTATATAGCCAAATTATGTACACCTTATCTGCAACGCACCATTTGCACAGATCTTCAGTGTTGCGCTATTTCTGCCCCTTCCTTCACATTGTGTTTCTCCGTGTTACTTTCACGTCTCCCATGTATCTCCACAACTCTGTATCATTTGCTTTCTCTGACATCAAGTGTATCTCCCTGCTATTTGATGTTGTTTTATGCCGATGAACATCTCTCTATGTATATCCTACTGATAAATCTTATCAGTATTACACGCCACAATAGTTTTGTGTTGTTGCATCCACTGAGCTAAATGTTTGAATTGCAGAGGTTCGATTACCATTTAGATATATCCATTTTGGGAGTTTTATTGAGTGAAAACAATCGGTCACCTCAATTGTTCAAGTTATTCAATCGTGTTTTCACCCAGCTGCCTAAATATCGAACACTCCAAACAGAAGAGGATGATGCAATTCGCCTAAATCAGCAGGAGCTCTGTGTGAAAAAGAAGCAGGTCCAGACACTCTTTCTACCCTGGCATGCCATCAAGCTTATAAATTCATAAATTCATGTGTTACTTCCCTTAATTTATCTGATATTCACTCAGTTTAGTGTTACATTAATGCATACTGTCTCTCCCTCTCTTACTGATGCTTCTGGAATGTAGTCATCACCTGTAGATACTGTTGATTCAAATGTAATTTAAAGCATTGATGTTCTTAGTAATAAGGTTGCTTACCTCTTATTTGGGCAATTTCACTGTATGGGGATAGATCCTAGAACAGACTTTTACTTTAAGAATTTCTAGCAGTTTTATTTGACCACTTCATTGAGTGGTTTTCAGCAAAACACATGACTGTTTAGTCATCCAATCGGAACACAATAACACAACTTTTTACAATCCAAGATAAAGTTCTTCCATTTTATAATACATTAATTAATAAGAAGTAACTGTTTTTCATGTGGTTGTGCTCTCTGAGCTGGATAGTGGTTTATTTGCGAAGCTTTCATCGCCCACCATACTAGGCGACATCTTCAGCTCATACTTCAAATTGCTGAAGTGAGATCTTAGATTTCTCCACGAGTTTATTAGTCATCTCTCTTAGTGGGTGACCTTGAACATCGTGATTGGTTGTTCTTGTGTGTTTTCATACCTTCTAGGCTACTTGAACTTTGACCCTTCGTGTGTGTGTGTGTGAGGCTTCTTTCTTATCGGTTGACAAATTTTATCGATCTCTATTTGTCTATTGATTGATGATTCACTGAAATACCAGGCAGGCTTCCACAAATTCTGTAGCATTCTTGTTGTTTCCTCTGTGTAATATTTGAATGTTGGTTGTCCTAGTAGACTTGACCCCTGTGTTTGTCTGTATGTAGTGGTATGAGGGAGCGTTTGTCATGTCTTTTGACGGCTAGTTTATGATCGTGGATACGAACACGAAGAGGACGTCCACTTTGGCAAATTATTGTTAAATTGTGGTAACTGCGAAAAACACGGGGGTCAATTCCACTAGGAAAACCAACATTCAAATATTAGACAGAGGAAACAACAAGAATGCTAGAGAATTCGTAGAAGCCTGCCTGGTATTTCAGTGAATCATCAATCAATAGACAAATAGAGATCGATAAAATTTGTCAACCGATAAGAAAGAAGCCTCACACACACACACACGAAGGGTCAAAGTTCAAGTAGCCTAGAAGGTATGAAAACACACAAGAACAACCAATCACGATGTTCAAGGTCACCCACTAAGAGAGATGACTAATAAACTCGTGGAGAAATCTAAGATCTCACTTCAGCAATTTGAAGTATGAGCTGAAGATGTCGCCTAGTATGGTGGGCGATGAAAGCTTCGCAAATAAACCACTATCCAGCTCAGAGAACACAACCACATAAAAATCATCCACCTGAGCTACAAATCTTCTCAATCATATCTAAATCTTACGAGAAGTAACTGTTCTTAACTGAGTGACTTTTACTGATCACAGATAAATTGTAAATATCAAGTGTTGCTACAGGTTTAATCACAAGTTGACATATCAGTTAGAGAACCATTGAAAATCAGCAGGAAGTACTGGACAGCTGTTTCGTCCCAGTTTGGAACTCATCAACCGTTTGCACCTACCGCTAGGGTTCGAACCCACGATGTCCCGGTCACTAGGAAAACCCGTATACTGTTCATCCACTAGGCGACGACTCCTTCAATGATCAACACATGAATTCTACCAATTTGTGATGTTGGCGTGACCAGCAGTCAAAATCATCGATGGCGAGTATTTGTTCTCATTCCTGATCTGATGGAATCCACTGGTCATGATTTCTCACTAGGACCTGAGAGAAGTGCCTACTGTACCAAGTTCCTAGAGAGTATCAGATTAATTCTCAAGAGTTAATTAGTTTGTAGGGATTCGATTTGTTTCAGTTTTGAGCACACTTGATTGGACACTAGTTAGCAATTAGTGTGATTTGTCTAGTCCTTTGTTTAATGCAGACTGAATTCTATCAGTCAGGTTTGCGATGTGACCACAATTCTGGGTAGCTCGCCATCACGGTGCACTTTGAATTATTGATATTAGATGGCTGGAGGCAATCGGCAGGAAGCCTTGGACCTAGGTTTCGTGATGGCAAGCCACCTAGAATGGTGGCCACATCGAAAACCTGACTGATAGAATTCAGTCTGCACTAAACAAAGGATTAGACACATCACACTAGTTACTAACTAGTCTCTGATAAAAAATATCCAATATAGTCCTACAGGAGGTCAATCATGAGGCAGAATAGCTAGCTCAGTTGTGGTAACGTCTCGGACTATAGCGCTCACTGGGTGATGCGAGTAGGCGACCTGGGTTTCTTCAGGATTGCAGATACGCCTTTCTGACTGGTGAGTATCAACTAGCACGAAACTTAGGTGTCGAAGGCTTCCTGTGGCCGATTGCCTCCAACCATCTAGTATTAATTAATTAGTTGTCAACCCTAATAATTACATAAGATTGTGGTGAAAGCTGTCAACAAGCCAAAATTGTAGACAGCAATTTACGTCAATGTTTACTTCCTGAATCGGGGTCATGAGAAAAAACAATAACACAGCTTAACCTTGGGGAACTCACCAACCAATCACAGCAGACTTAAAGTGTGTAAATACGATTCGCAGACATATGGCCTAACTTTCTAAGAAACAGCAACAAACAGATGACAGAATAACCTTCAGCAGGATAACAACCAATCAGAAGGCACTGTTTCTCTGTTAACAATAACGAATAATAATGTACATAGAAATCGATAAATATCTGTTGATTTCCTCAATAAACGATCTGTTGTCTGACCCTTGTCTTCTGTCCTTACAAGGTTATACTTGATTTTTCAAACATTGTCATTACTCATGCACAATAACCTCTGATCTCCCTTGCCAATTAACATTGTATATACAACCTCGGCAAATAGCTGTACGGTTTCAGAGTAAAGTTACGAAAAGAGATCTCTTTGTCAACTTATTTTTGGTTAATTACATCATACGGCAATTCTTAATATGTTTAATTATAAATAATAAATTTTTAAAAAAAACAAAAAAATGCAGTTATTACTATAACCTACTTGATCAAGACTTGGTCGGTACTTTCTGTACCATAGTTCAAACAGTTTATCAACAAATGTATGATGTAATAAAAACAGCGGGTCGTTTGGACTTGTTGAAACATCGAACCATGATCCATTCATATAACTATGAACCTGAATGTGAATTATTATTTTTTTAAGAATATTAAAGTAATTGGTTACTTTAAATGATAATAAAAACAAGTATCTGGATAATTAATACAAAGAAAGCTGAAAATCAGATGACATGTCCGTCGAAATCTTAAATTAGTTTGTACTTGTATCATTCTTCAGGAGACCCGTCGTGGTTTGATTAAGAGGCCTGGTGACAAACATACATTTGTAAATACTTCTTTTTAATTCGATTTTCACCTTCCTATTGATTGATTGGACCAACATGTTCGGCCCCTGTTGACATATTGCCTTCTTGTGGGAATGCTGACACCCTTTGCCCATAAGGTGTCTCTCACGGCCAAAGTGGTCTAGTGGATAACGCTTTGGCGTTTGAAACGATGGGTACTGGGTTCAAGTGAGCCTCAGGGGAGGTAGGCCGTCACTCACAGAGGAATGCAGGTACATCCGCTAGCTGACGAGTCCAGGTAGGACGAAGTGAGAATCCTGGATTCCAATGCTAGTCAACATCTCACAAATGAATACATATGCAGACTTGAAAAACGTTTATCACTTTAGAGTTAAAACCCCTATGTGATTCAATTTTGCTATTAAAAGGCCAAAGCAGAACTAGACAGGGACTGTATGTACTTCTTGTGTACACAAAGATCCGGTTGAAATTCATGTTAAGTTAAGGCCTCAGCTATTTTTTAGCAGTTATAAATGAAGAGAGTGTTACGAAGCTTTACGAATTCGATGAGTATTTTCAAAGTCATTATTTTAATAATAATAATAGTCACTTTATTCCACAACAATAACAATTTACAGCATGGAATTTTCAGCGTTTCATTTTACATATTGCATTGGTT